ATTATGTTTGGTCTAGCAAAATGCTACAACCTAAGTGGGAAGAGTATTAAAAAAAGGATTGAAAATGGTATCAATTTTTAATTAGAGTGGGTAGCCCTAAGCATGTTCATTTTTTCCCCTTTGTTGGACACAGTATAATAAATAGTTCACACTGGTTGAATCAATAGCATTAGTATAAAATACAACATTAATAACAAAGTATGTAAATTTGTGTAATTAAAGATTAAAACCTTGAAATATATACATTTTAAATATCTTATCTCTTTAGTAAGGACATCTATAAATAAGTTAAATACCATTCCTATAAAGAAGGCTAAAAAGAAACCTTTGTTATTTATGCCTCGCTTTGTTTCTGACGACTTTTTTTTTTTATAAATTCATGGGACTAATAATTGTTGTTATTGTGTTCATAGCGTATCCACTTGGACATTAGAGTTGGAGAGCATTTTCTTGATGAAGCTATCGCTCAAGCCAAGGACAAAGTTAATGAAGTTAACTTTAGACTCGGACATCTAATTGAGCAAATTCATCACATATCCAAAGAACAAAACTATCACAGAGTATGTTTGTTCCCTAATAGAAATATGAAAGAATAATGCATGGAAACATCTGGATTTGGAAAGTAAAATGTTGGGTGGCATATTACAATATTTAGTTGTAGTATTATTTTTAATTAAATGTTATTAAAAGTACTATTAATATTTAACTAAAGTGGACCACCGTATGTAAGTTATTACTTAAAACTGAACAATACATATTAATTAAGGTTTGTAAAACACTTTGCAGCTATAAAGCAAAATATAGTATATAAGCTAAGAATTAATTATTAATTAATCTTTATATAATCCTCAGTTTTACTCTACAGTACTTTCCACTAATTAAATCATTTGGTTAATTTTAGTTTTGCTGGTCATAATGCTATAATTCAGGTTGTATGTGCATCAAATTTTAATTTAAACTCTATTTTCACATGATCATAACTTTGTAGTAAATTCTATTTTGGGCTGAGATTCTCAATACTTAATCTCAACCTAAAAGTGAATTTGTTTTAGAAGGACTGAGTAAAATCCTTCCATAGAATCATAGAATATCAGGGTTGGAAGGGTCCTCAGGAGGTCATCTAGTCCAACCCTCTGCTCAAAGCAGGACCAATTCCCAACTAAATCATCCCAGCCAGGGCTTTGTCAAGCCTGACCTTAAAAACCTCTAAGGAAGGAGATTCCACCACCTTCCTAGGTAAACCATTCTGCAGAACTGCTGCCTAGCCATTCGGGCCATAGTCTGTAGCAGTGCATGGGACTCTTCCATCCTAAGTGCAGGACTCTGCACTTGTCCTTGTTGAACCTCATTCGATTTCTTTTGGCCCAATCCTCTAATTTGTCTAGGTCCCTCTGTATCCTATCTCTACCCTCCAGCGTATATACCACTCCTCCCAGTTTAGTGTCATCTGCAAACTTGCTGAGAGTGGAGTCCACGCCATCCTCCAGTTCATTAATGAAGATATTGAACAAAACCGGCCCCAGGACTGACCCTTGGGGCACTCCGCTTGAAACCAGCTGCCAACTAGACATGGAGCCATTGATCACTACCCGTTGAGCCCCATGATCTAGCCAGCTTTCTATCCACCTTATAGTCCATTCATCCAGCCCATACTTCTTTAACTTGCCGGCAAGAATACTGTGGGAGACCGTATCAAAAGCTTTGCTAAAGTCAAGGAATAACACATCCACTGCTTTCCCCTCATCCACAGACTCCGTTATTTCCTCATAGAAGGCAATTAGGTTAGTCAGGCATGACTTGCCCTTGGTGAATCCATGCTGACTGTTCCTGATGACTTTCCTCTCTTCTAAGTGCTTCAGAATTGATTCCTTGAGGACCTGCTCCATGATTTTTCCAGGGACTGAGGTGAGGCTGACTGGCCTGTAGTTCCCTGGATCCTCCTTCTTCCCTTTTTTTTTTAAAGATGGGCACTACATTAACCCTTTTCCATCTGTAACAGCAATTTGTAGACACTTTTAACAGAGCACAAGAATGGTAATTTCAGTTTCACTCCTCTTCACAGGGATAGCTCAGTGGTTTGAGCATTGGCCTGCTAAACCCAGGCTTATGAGTTCAATCCTTGAGGGGGCCATTTAGGGATCTGGGGCAAAAAATCTGTCTGGGGATTGGTCCTGCTTTGAGCAGGGGGTTGGACTAGATGACCTTCTGAGGTCCCTTCCCACTCTGATATTCTATGATTATTTTCACAAAAATTAAATAAATATGGGTTAGATTATAGCATTTAGCTATGCCTACTCTATACATCTCTGACCAGTTGCTTGCAAGGGAGAAAGTATCAGGAGAGCAACTGTTCTCCCTTGTCCATGTCTGAGCCATGGTTTCAACAATCCTAATATGGATGGAAAAGGAGGACACTTACAAGATCTAGTTGTATATAAATAAAATAATGAAATAAATAAATGTGAGCTGCAATGGTAAAAAAGCTGTTTGAGCATGCATAGTAGTAATTTTTGCTAATAATAGGAACTACAATGCTAACTGTGGTGCTTAGCATCATAAACCCCAATTCTAACAACACAGATGTGAACGATTTTGCACACATGCACTATTTGTAGGATCAATATCTATGAAGAATGTTTGCAATGCAGGAATGAATTCTATGAGTGTTATTACTATACATTGCATATTATTGAATAAATTATTGAAATCTTTGTGCCTGTGCCAGCTATAAGCTCATTAAGCATAACAATGCTGGATTTTTGCAGTTTGTTCTAATTTTTCTATTTAGAACAATTCTCTCTAAAATAGAAGAAAAAGTAATTAAGGAAGCCCCATGAGACTTTCTGAGCTTGATCCTGCATGGCACATGTGCAGAGCTGTGCATATGCACATACAAGGTAAAAAACCAAGTCTATTAGGATGGAAATAGCAACTCAATCCTGCAGTCATGAGCGTGGAGTTGTATGCAAGTTACTCCAATTTAGTAGTAGGAATAAAGCCCAGGATATGATCCAATACCTTTGAAATCAATCGAGTTTTGTCATTGTCTTTAACAGGAGCTGGAGCAAGTCCCAGAGAAGGAAATTTGGATTGAAGGGTCAGATTGCAGTGTTGCAAAACTCAGTCCCTTTTGTGAATCTAGTTCCAGGCACCTAGTTGCTTCTTCAGATGCATAAATACCTTTAAATATATGGTCCCTAAGTGCCTTATTGTGGCTCCAATTCAGGGAAAAAATTAAGTCTGTGCTTAAGTCCATCCCTGTTCAGGAGAGCACGTAAGCATATGTTTAACATTATGAATGTGTTTCAGTCCCATTGACTTCAGTAGGAAGTATGCATGTGCTTAAAAAACTATACCTAATGCTCAGCCCAACCTGTGACCATATGAAACTTCTGCTCACACTTTCACTGCAGCACAAAAGCCAACCTTACATAACCTGTTGTTCAGTGCTCAAATTGTGATTTGCAACCCTGAAAGTAATATGGATAAGAAGTTCAAACTCTTATTTTCATCAAATTGATTATAGTTAAGAAGAGAACATCGTATAGGGCTTGGTTCATTCTCTCCAGTATGTGGACAGACAACATGTGCCTTGATACCAGGTAGCTGCATCAAATACTGTACTTAGATTTTTTTAAATCAAATAATTATGCCTTTTCCCTCTTTTCAACAGGAACGTGAGGAGTACTTTCGATTGACAAGTGAAGAAACAAACAGCAATATCCTGTGGTGGGCTCTTGCACAAACATTAATCCTTATCTTAGTTGGAGTCTGGCAAATGAAATGTCTTAAAGATTTCTTTATAGCTAAAAAGCTTGTTTAAGACTGATAGAAGTGAATATACTTCTAAATTATTCAACATATAATGCATAATGTCTACATTAATAAAGCACAAAATGCAAAAATATGCACTATTTTTGATGTCTTATTAACATAAAAAGGTGAAATTAAACTAGTTTTCAAGTAGTACAGTAATCCTCTGGTAAGAAAAATATTACAAGAAAATATGAAGTACATGAATTGAGGGGAGGGGAGGAAATTGTCAATATACTCTTCTCAAGCATCACTCATGCCTCCCATTCTCAATAATTACCACTCCCACCTCCTGCTCCCCTATCAGATTCACACTGTTGGGTCTCTCCTCCCATTTCTTTTGGCAGAATCCCAACTGTAGTTCCCCCACTTCCTTCTAAAGATTTAGTTTATATCTTAATCTGAATAGCACCATACATATATACATCTAATGGTATACAGTTGGCAGTCCATCCTGCCAGTTGGCAGTTTTGCATAAACACTCCAAATAATCTTGAATAGTTACGTAAATTATCACAGGTGAGAACTATCCTACTCAGTCTGACTGGATTATAGAATTCCTGGCAATCCCTAGATTTGTGACTGTCAACTTTATATGTAAGATTATTGATACAGTTTCAGTTCTTCGGTGTTTTTCTTTGTTGGAAAGCTATTTTTATTTTAATTAAGAGGCCACAGATGTTACTTTTGAGTACTGATCATAGTGGATTTATCAGGAGCGTTGCAGTGTATGACTTAATCATGTAGTTCCCCTCCAATTGGATTAACAGATGGGTTGAGAGAGTTGCTTCTATAATTTGACAAGTTTTATTTAGTTATAGTTTATGGAGAATTTGATTTAAAAGCAGAAGACGTGTGGTGTGCATCTCCTATCACAGCAAACACTTAGCAACTTACTTCCTTACTAACCTATGTCCTATTTCCTTCTGTGAAGAAAATAGCTTGTAAGGACATATAGACCTTATATAAAATTTAAAGTTATATATTTCAAATGGGTTTCATCCTGATCAGCTTTAAAGTAATTTTTCTTTGTCAAGCTTTTGGGCTTGTGTACATAGCCCCACAGTGCACTACGGGGGACAGGGGGTATGAACGGCAGTGTGCAATGTGTCTGCCCTCATGTAGACCCTACTAGCAGGAACTAATAGGAACCTAATTCATATTAACCTAACTCCCATTGAAATCAATGGTTAGAGGCCAGACAGTTTATCTTCTGAAATCAATGGGAATTAGGGATCTAGGTACTTTTGAAAATCCGAGTATCTGCATCTTTAGGTACCTAAATAGCTTTAAAAATGTGTCCCATACAATCTTTTAAAAAACATTTAATCCAAGCAGTCTATGAGTCTGAATTTTTTATGTTTTGGGAGGGGCCCCAGACTAAGTCTGTGGGATATGGAATATACTAAATATTTTTAAAACTGGTGATTTAAGCAGGACTTTTCTAAATTGATGCTTGCTAATTATGTCCTAATTCAGACTTGATAAGACCAAGTTGCATGGGTCCCAGGTAGGCCGCACCCCTGATTTGTCCATAGACTTTGAAGGTAGGTACTGAAAAATGAGTGAGAGAAATTTGTAAACCGTAAGAATCAAAGGTCAGGCCAAGAAGCCTCAACTTTCAGATCAATGAGCCATCTGAGGAAAAACTCATGTTCCAGAGTCTCCAGAACTGATCAGCTTAGAGAGAGAGGAAGTTATGACAAACAGGCTATTTCTACCTTTGACCAGTCTCTCCCTGCACCCGAAGAAGGTCTACTAGTGCGAAGTGCTATGCCAGCAGAACATCACCATTTGGCAACTTGTCTGCAGTTCCAGCTTCTACACAATGAAAGTCCAGAAAACACAACTCCTCTATAATTTTATGTATCATATTTCATCCTTTTGTATTGTTTAGTCTTTTGTTTATAATTCTCCGGGAGCTGTTCCATCCTTTATTTTTAGCATGTGAAAATAAAAGTGTGGTTGTGTGCACACATATGTGTGTAGAGCTAGGCAATTTTTTTTTTATTAATTGTTTTGCAACATAAAAATTAATTTTGGGGGGGATGATCTGAAACTATTTGCCTAATTCGGGTCAAATTCAATTAATAGTTTTGATTAATGAGTCAATTTTATGTTTTAAATTCTTTTTTTTTTTAATTTTTAAATTTCACCAGTTTTAAAACAACACACCCACACAAAAAAGGTGAAAACCACCTGTAAAGTCAAATCAAAATGAAAAACTTATGAAAATCAATCATTTTGTGTAAACCCAAATGTTTCAGTCAACTAGAAACAAATCAAAAAACCCAAAAGATTTTGTTTTGGGTCAACTCAAAACATTTTGGTTGATTTTAAATTCAAGTTTTTTCTGTGTGTTTCGCTTCAATGAAATTTTTTTTTTAAATTGGGGGTTTAAATGAAACCTGTTTTTTTTCAGGTGGGCGGGGATGTGTTTCAAACTTTTGGTCCAGCCCCCAAACCAAAAAAAATCCATTTGCTGAGAGCTGTGTGTATGAGAGTACTTATAAAGCCCACACAGGGAAGGTGCCAGAAAGAAACATTCTCCAGGTTAAAGAGCTCTAAATATTGTCTTATAAAGACACTCATTGAAATTTGTTCTGTGTTTAGAAGTCTAGAGCCATTAGGATTACCATCAGTAATTTCTGGTAAACACGATTGTTAAACATTGGTTTATTATTGAGTGTTCTGTTAAAGTGTATATTATAATACTTGGTTGGATGAGAAAAGGTTGCCAGGAGTTCTCAAACTTCATTAAACCGCGAACCCCTTCTGAAAACAAAAATTACTATAGGACCACAAGAGGGGGGACTGAAGTCTGAGCCCGCCTGAGCCCTGCCACCCCAGGGAGGGGGGCAAAGCCAAAGTCTGACTGCCCCAGACTGGGGGGGCCAAAGCCGAAGCCCAAGGGCTTCAGCCCCAGGTAGGGGGCCTGTAACCTTAGCCCCGCTGCCCAGGGCTGAAGCCCTCGGGCTTGGGCTTTGACCCTGAATCCTAGCAAGTCTAAGCCAGCCCTGGAGACCCCATTAAAATAGGCCTATGACCCACTTTGGGGTCTCGACCCACAGTTTGAGAACCACTGGTCTAGACACAGCATACTAACTGAAGGTTAAGAAGGAAGTTTTATAATTGGCTCTAAGGTTGTGGTTCAAACATTAGATAATAATTTGGTTTCTGTATTAAGCTATTTAGCCAGATTCAAATTATTGATTTGACTGACATTAGTAAAATTCCTTCTTTGGGATTTATAAATAAATGGACAATTAGCCTCCCTCTTAAAAGTTATATAAGGATTGATTACATCTCTGGCATTAATTTGATGATTTAACTTCAGTCCAATATTGAGACTACCTGGCTTGATTAGATTATGATATGATAGTGTCTTATTCTTAGTTTAGTTTAGTATTACTAATATCTTGGCTTTGGTGACATGTTTTCTTGATTCTATTTTAATTTAAGATTTTTAATAAGATTTAGAAATTGATACTGAATCATGTTTCTTTCAATAAGCAACATGGATCCAAACCTTTGAGAGCCTACGCTGGATAGCAGCAGGTCAACCTAAAAGCCTGACCAATTCTTCCTGATAAGTTTATGGTTCTCACATTTCTCTATCTTATATTCAGAGCAGCATTTAGAGTAGTGATTAGAGATGGTTGAAAATTTTCCATTGAAATTTTTTTCAACCAAAAATGCCTTTGTTTTCCTCAATGTAAAAAAACCCTAAAATCAATTTTTACTTTAAAAAAATCCTCAAAAATTAAAAAACATTTTCATGGAAAAGTTTTACCATTTTCTGGCTATCTCTAGTTGTGATTATTGTACCCATCTATTGATTTAACAAGTTTGTCTAGATAAAATTCTATTATAAAATACTACCTATATTCAGCTATTTAGATTGCTTAATTAGCTGAACATTCTAATATTTTTCCTTTTAAAAGAGTTGCCAGATGCAACTGATCATAGAATCATAGATATCAGGGTTGGAAGGGACATCAGGAGGTCATCTAGTCCAACCCGAACTGATTGTTCTATTGTTACACATCACCGGGGAGTTTCTAACATTGTATTTTTGAAATGCAGTTATTGAAAGATGTAAATCAGTAGGTGCTTAATAAAATTAAGTAAATAGATGCAATGAATGATGTCTTTTTTCATAATACAAAATATTCCTTAAAAAAGCACTTTTGGAACTGTGAGTTGCAGGAATTTTTATTTTTGTTGTCTTTTCACCATTAATACAAATGAAAAAGGAATACATATAACTGTTTAGAATGCACTTAACTGATCATAAATCACTAACAGTTTCCACCACTATTCTGAAAATTAAGAAAGGTATTCTAAAAGTAATTATTTTTTTGTCTCATACATTCCAGGACCTCAGTTCTGGGATCTGTGTTTCCCATGCATATGCTGATAATATCAACAACACGTGCAGCTGAGCAGACCAGTGAAGTGCCTTTCTTAGCATGATTTAACTGTTAATGATATCATCAGCTGCAGAAGGAACCTGAGCTCGGATTCTAGCAGGTAAAAGAGAATGATTCTTGAATATCATTTAAGCCTGATTTGTAATAGAAGGAATACATTTGTGCCAGTACGTGGTTATTTGTTTATCTGGTCATGTATGGACAAAATCAGTATTTGCGTGCTCATCTCTGTTAAGAGCTGCACACAGGAAACAATCTGTGGTACCTTTTAACTAGAGTTAGTAAAAAACAAAACAAAAAAAAACAGAATTTCCATTCTGTGGGAAATTGAGATTTTGAAATTTGGATTTATTCCAAATAGCGATGAAAAGTCAAAGTCTCAGAATTATTCACAAAATGATAGATTCCAAAATATTTTGTTTTGACTTTATCAGAGCATTTCATTTTAATATGGTCAGAAAATGTTCATCTCAGCTATATTATACTATAGTGGAAACAATAAAGTCAAATGAGATGATGATTAAGTCAAAATGAAATATTTCAAATTTACATGAATAAAATGTTTTGCCATTATAGAAACAAAACATTTTGATAATTACCCAAAAATGTAGATGAAATTGATACATTCCAGCAAAATGTTTTGATTTAATTGAAAACT